GGAGCCAAGTATCACCAGCATATTGTCGATGCAAAGCTCTCTATGTAAGTCTTGGATCAGAACCTAGACTCAGTGATGGGCTGGATGTGGGACAGCGAATGCCAGTAAGCCATATGTCCAATGAATGAGTAGTTCCCAATCCTGGGGAATAGGCTTGTTGCCTGATGAGTTTGCATTCCATTTGGAAGATCAAGCTTGTATTCTGGACGTACTCCTAGATCCATCATTGTCACTGAAGTCCCAAATGAATGTACTTTTGACTGGTTGCCAGCTATGCCCTCTTCTGGACAGTGATAGCTTAGCCCCAGTAGTGCAGGCACTAGTTCCTTTAAGGCTGAATTACTGCAATGTTCTCTCTGGGTCAATTCCTAAGAGTAACTTTGGGTGACTATACCGCAAACCCCTGGCAATTGCTCTGTGGGATTCCACAGAGTGCCATCCTATTCCCAGTATAATTTAACATCTATATGACACCTCTGGGAGCCTGCATTAGGGGATTTGGAGGCAAGCTCCGTTAAGTATACTGATGAAGCACAACTATATTTCCCCATGACAACTGAATCAGGAGAGGCTGTGCAAGTCCTAGAACAGTGTCTGGACTCAGTGATGGGCTGGATGAGGACCAATAAAGTTGAATCCTGGCAAGACAGAAGTCCTGTGGGTGAGTGGTTCCCAAGTTGGGGAGATAGATCTATTGCTCTTTGTAGGTGGGGTCATGCTCCCCTTGAAAGATCAGGTCCATAGACTGGGGGTACACCCAGATCCATTGCTGCCGCTGGATGTCCAAGTGACTGCAGTGGCTCAGACTGGCATTTCCTTTCTCTGACTGGTTCACCAGCTACAGCCTTTCCTGGACTAGGATGCCTTGACCACAGTGATGCATGTGCTGATAACCTGCATAATGCTTGTGGGAGGCTTTTGTACACAGATAATAAATAAACCTCAGGACTGAAATTACTGCAGTGCAACTGCTCTTAAGAGTGCTCTGGAAGCCAAAGTTAGGAGCATGCAGGAAGGTGCTCAATTTCAGTGCACAACTCCTTTGCTGAAGGAGCTTCCCTGGTAGCAGTGATCAATCAGCTACTGGGCTGATTTTCCTAATATTGGGTTTTCGTAATATTGCACAAAAGCCTGAACAACTTGTGACAGGATACTTGAGAGAGAGAACAGTCTTCCTTATCCACCTGCTCAGCCACTGGTAGTGCCATGTGGACTGCATGGCCAGAAGAAGAAGAGCTTTCAGAGTGCATGAAATTCCCCGCGTCTATGGAATTCCCTGCCTCAAGAGGTCAGGCAGGCACCAAGATTGTGCTGTTTTTGTTGCCTGCTAAAGGCAACCTTATTCTGGAAAGCCTTTTATTGCTGACCAGCCACAGTCTTAATATCATTTTGGTTTTAAATGTTTTTCATATGTTGCTTTTGTTTTTTAAGTTTGTCTTTCCCTTATACTGTTCACTACTCTGGAATTTATTTGGATGTGGAATGGTATAGAGGAACTGTAAATAAGGGGTTTTTTAAATAAAGGAATCCTGTATTAAGCAGAGGGGTGGACCTGATGACCTTATTGGCCCCTTCTAACTCTACTATTCTGTGATCAAATGAAAATAAAATAATGGGGAGGTCAGACCCCAGTGATGGTGTCTTAGACATCTGCTTGCAAAGACAAGATCTTTCCTATATGGAACAGCAAACAGTAGTAAAAATCACCAGTAAAACGGAAAACAGACGGTGGCTTAGAGAATGTCAGTTCTTCCATAGTTGTTTTTCAGTGAAAAAAAAAAAGATTTATCTCTGTAAGGATTTGAAATAACTACAGCTTAAAGTGCGGTACAAAATGGTGATTTTCTCTTTTCTATTTATGTAGAACTGTAAGGAAGCAGTAAACTAATTGACAGTTGCATCTGTTATGGAAGGACTATAAATAATTCCAGTGAAACTACTGATAGTCATAACATGCCCTCTGAAATGCGAAACCTTTCCGGTCTGCAGAAGAAATAGGATACAGTGTTATTTTTCTGTAACAGTGATAGCCCCTTCCCTTAAGTGCAGCAATGGCAGACATGAATATGAGAGGGACCACCATTTCTAGTAATGCAGACGATTTATGAATGGGGAGCCTTTTCAGGATACTGGTTCATGGAAACTAGTTCTACCAAAGGACTTGAAATGTGGCTGCACATTTTAACTGGAATAATCCCCACTGACATCTTTTGAGGAAGAGGGATAAGATTGCAATGTGTAATTATATTTATTTAATTTTTATACCACTCAATAGCCAAGGCTTTCTGGGCTGTTAACAAAAGTTAAGAAAAATTTTAAACACACACACAAACACATATAAGATAAAATTAACAAAAGACAACAAACACAGTAGCAATTGCAATTGAATCAGCAGAGAAGCATAGCAACAATTCAGAATAAAATGCAATGTTTAAAATGAAGTTAAAAATTAAATAGTTAAAAAGCTAGAAGAATAAAAAGGTCTTCAGTTGGTACCAAAAAGAATACAAAGTTGATAATTATATAGTAAATGGGATACCTCCTCTTATGAGAATATAGCCTGGTATCTAGTGTTCTCCACTACCACCAACAAAAGGCCACACTCAGCAAAATGAAGAGAGAGCGATTTTGTGCAATTCCTTAGCCCTTCCTGCAGCCTCCCATGCTACTGAAATACGCGTTGCAGCTTCTCTTAATCCTCCAGGGTGCATTTGTGGAGAGGGGCACAGCGGGTTGCAGGAATAGTTGAAAATTTCTCATTTCTGCTTCACTGACAGATACTTTCTCTCAGCTGAGGGACACTGGGTAGTAGCTAATTGTGCACCAGTGCTAGTGAAGTTGCACTAGTGTAAACAAATGGCTTGCTAGCAGTGGAGGAAAAGCGGTACCACCTATTTAGCATAGGATCCAGATGCATGTCTTAAATGACGTGTGCTTGCATTTTAAGCGGAAACTACACGATGTCATTCCCCACACATTTGGCATTCCAGAGAGGAAAGAATGAGTGGCAGGAGTTCTCTGTGAACAACATATTTTGGAGCAGCTTTCTGATGCCAGAAGCATCGCTCTGCAACAGCCTTTGGTTTATAAATGACATAATAAATGTTGAAGAAAGAGGTTTTAGTTTCAGCTAAAGCACTGAATAAGAACCCTTCCCAATGAAATCACTGGGATCAAGAGCCTGGGACTTTTTGAATTGTTTAAGAAAGTGCATAAGAATTCTGTATACCAGCAAGTTATTTCACTGTCCTGTCCTACTCTGAGCCTTGCCCTCACACTATCAATGGTTATCTCTTGAGCAACCAAGCACGCAGAATCCTCGAATAAATGCATCCCTTATTCGTTTTTGAACAAATGGGGAAGGTAAGCAAGATATAAATTAGTCTGAGGAACTTGGTTTTTTTGTCTCTGTGGTCTGAATCGCTCAGGTTCTGCTCAGTGTGGCAAGTGTTAAACGTATGGATGGCTGCTCATCTGAAGTTAATTAAAGTATACTCTACACTTCTCATCCGAGGTGCTCACTTACAGGGTATCGTGCTTACTCAGAACCTGCACTGACTTCAATAGAATATACTTTCTGTTAAGTGCGCTTCCATAATGTGCCTTTAAAAATCCCTTTCCCTGCTTGAGATAAAACAAGCTGACAAAGGAATGCACAGATATCTGCTGTAGCCATGCTCAAATGTGGGATGAGCACACCAGTTGACTGTAGTTCTAGGGTCAAATGAAATAATTTCACATACTAAAGGCATATTATCAAAACTATGCAGTCCTACATATGCTTATTCAACATCCCACTGATTTCAAGAGGACTTCATCCCAGGTAGCTAAGTATAGAATTGCAGCCTTAAAGCTGCTCTTGCTGATTTTATGGGAAAGTGTGTTAAAACATCCATCATGTTCCTGTGCCCATGTTACTATGGGATTTAATATTCAGATTTGTATATGAATATTAAATCCCATAGTAACAGAAAAACCCCATTTTTTAAAAAAACAAAAACTAATATTAATCCTAAAGCAAGGTCTGGTTGTGTTCAAATCTGTGAGTCAAAAGCTCTCTCTTGTGGCTGGAATATAGTATTTCCACAGATATTTCTGTCCTTGTTTCCATGTAACATACACTAACAGTCATGATGGAAGCCACAAAGTTTGCTACTACAGCCTATACCACCATACTAAAAATATTTGAAAACATGGTCTGGAACGATGGTTTGAACTTTCTGACAAAGAATGTAAAATACAAACTATTGGTTCTGGCTTGCATGAGTAAAAGGAGGGATAGTTGAGAGGTAGAGATTGGAAAATGACCTACCATTCCTTTTTTGTCTATGTTCAGAACACAGAGAGGACAAGCAGGGATTCTTAGGATAAATCCAATAACAGAGAAAAAAAGTTGTTACTGTTTTTCCCTTCCACTTTGTCCCTTTCATCCTGCACAGTGTTATAATAGTGTGGCTCAAAATCACATTTTTCAAAGGCAAACTCCTCCCAAGACTTTAAATGAACTGAGGGGTGGGAGGGGGGGAGAGTAATGCTAGAAAGAAAATAAATTTAAAGCACTCTTTGGTCTTCTGGATGCTTTCACGCTTGCTTTGCTCCTACACCTCTAAACAGGAATCCTTTTGCAAATGACATTTAAAAGCTCCTCCTATGTTTCCCAATTTTTCAATTTGCATGGAATATAAACACTCTAGCTCAAGCATCGATGTCCAATTTAAAAATGATTCTTTACTGCTTTCTGGGTTACATTAGCTCATACTAATGATGTACTCTAGATTTAACGGGGCTTGTGATGTCTTATCTTCCTAAACAGACTGATATAAAAAGGAAGCTTTACTGGAATCACTGGTACTTACTCCAAGTGAATGTAGTTACTACTAGAGTATATTTTTTACACTGTGGAATGCATGATGTAGAGAGCAAGAATGCTGACTGTAAGCCAAAGAGACTTTGGCTTGGCAAAAATAGATTGTTCCTGTTACAAACTGGTATGCTGGCTTTCAGCTGCCATCCCATAAGCAGGTGCTGTGAAACAATAACTCTGAGGCCACATTTCCTAAGCACCCTAGTTAGAAAAAGCAAAGCTTTCATCCATGTCAGATCTTGAACTGTTCAGAAGATTCAGTAAGAAGAAAAAAGATGAATGTCTGTTGTCTATCAATCCTCCTGCTTCTTGGACTAGGTAAACAATTTCAATCAGTTAAGTAATGTTGGTTTGGCTTATTTAACGGAACAGCTCTTGTAGACAGGGTATGGGTTTAAAAAGCCAAGACGCTTTCTATGACTTTAATTTAAGCTGAACACAAAATTATATATAAACTGAACACTTTCCCCTTCTAACATTGAAATGCAAAATATTCTGTGGCTTGCAGGGTGCTATTAAAAAAACTCTCATAGGTGTTTTTCAGTGAAGAATTAGGATGTTGTTACTTTGAAAAGGATGCCATCAGGAACTAAATGTTATTCATTATTAAGATTAAATACTGCTTCCTCAGTAGTAACTGGAGTTTCTAAAACAGTAATAACATCTTAAAAACACTTAAAGATATTGATTTTAGACAGAAAATCTCTGATAATTTCGGCAGATGGGTTCTATGATGTATATAATGCTTTATAGCTTGCAGTTAATTGATCTGCTGGCTAAGATTTATTTTTTTACCATAATAGATATTTGATGGTATACTTCCTTTTATGAAATTTTCTAAAGCCACCAGTCTTACTAATAGTTTGCATAGCTCATATACATATTAAAAATTGGCATGCAATATTATAGGAAGGTCTTAAAGAGGAGTATTTAACTTCTAATGGCTGCTTCACTGCTGTTAGTCTTCTCAAAATGGATTGAACACATGTATTTATATTCTTTTTTCTACTATTTCAGTTTGCTGCATTAGTGGTTTTTCTCTTGCAGTTTCTTTTCATTTCCCCCTAAAGGTCTTTTAAAAAAAATCTCCTTAAATAGGCCTTCATTATAACCAAAACAGTAAGTCAGACTGTATATCAACACATATTATTAAAAAATGTAATGTTTATTTAATTGCAGATATCATTGTATCATATGATTCATTTCATCAAGTGAAATTTATAATGTTCTTATAATTTCTAAGTGCCTAAAACAGAGGTGTGATCTGCAAATATCACAGAAATGGCAACTTCTGCTATGTTTGAAATGATAGCTTCACTGGGCAAGGAAAAAGAATAAGAATTGAATAAGAATTGTGAGCAGTAAAAGCTGTGCTTAGTATCTACAGTCAATGTTACAGTATATCCATTTTTTAGCTCTTTAAAAATTAATCTTAGTTAAGTACCAGTAATAACCATTATTATTCAATTAATTCACAGACTTTTGCTGTACCCACTAAAATCTAACCTAACCATTTATTTCAAAAGATAACACTACTCAATTTTAGTGGCTCCCCCTTCTACCTTAGAAAAGGGTTTGGAGGGGGTAGGTCTCAGGATTCATGACAAATGCAGAAATGAAGACATACAGAGTATCTCCTACATGCTTCTTGGCACTCTTACTGAAGGGACCCTGAGTTTGACAAGGAGGTAGGGGCAGAGGGCACGTGTCTCAGGGCACACTCATACCTGGACCAAAGCAGTCAACAGACTATGCTTTTTTTTACTTTTATTCTTTGCTTCCTAGAATTGTAGCATTAATTCCTCTATGTCTTGGTATTCACTTTACAGAGCATTGATTCCACATCAGTCTGTTTAATAGGCAGTGCTTTTTTTGTCATAGAACGCACCGGAACAGAGTTCCGGCACCTTTTTTTGACAGATTTTCCAAGTTTTAAAAGTAACTTTGAAAATTTGATGTTTGGTCCACATGGATTTGAATCGCCCTGTCGAGCGTAGCAGGTCGGCGGCAAAATCATTAAAATGGCGCACACGGGCTGCTTGTGTGTCAAATCCGATGCAGGCGTACTTCGTCTGCGCTGGTTGTGATTGGTCGTGTGGTCGCGCGCTGAGTGCTTACTGCGGGCGGTGACCGTTATGTTTCGTTACACAACTGACGTGTGTGGGTGTGTGTTCAGTGATCGACTACATGTGAAAGGTAAATAATTTCATGAGTTCCAGCACCGTTTTTCTTACAAAAAAAAGCACTGTTGCTATGTAAGTGTAAATGGATTTATCTTGTATTCCCATTTATCATTTTCATTTCACATCAGTGGGAAGGAAATAAACTATGCCAGCTTCAGGGCTGCCATAATATCTTTCTGGTCCTGGGGGTGGGAGGGATATTGCGGCTACGCAGCAGAGCTGTGGATCCTGCTCACAGCATTCTTCGGAATTTCTTCTTGTGGTCTGATGCTGAAGCGTTTCTTGTGCCCCATTTCTCAGGCTCACCAAGGAGGCTTGAAATGTCTGACGTCCCTGTTCAAGGGCAGGCTGTTTTCTCTCTCTCTTTCTCTGCTCTTGGACGGCAAATTCCAAAAATTCTTGCAGCGTCTCTACTCCCAATAACTATATTGAATTGCAGCATAACAAGTTAGGTGACCTTGACTACTCAGTTGCTGCATGAATGTATAGCCCCTTCTAGAAAGAAAATTTGAAAGTATTTTGTAGTATTAATTTGCTTTTCACCAAATTAAAAACAATTAATGTTTTGTTCCCAGGCTGCAACGAACTGTGTAGGCTTGTAAAAAAGTTCTTGTTTTTTTAAACTGAATTCCAAGCAGGCAAGTGGCCTCAGTGTGAATGCAAGGTCATAACATAACTTCCGGAATGCAATAGCTTTCTGGTCTGCAAAAGAAATAAGAGATGTGTTGTTATTTTCTGCAAGAGAAAGAGATCCACATCCTTTAAAGCAGCAGCACTGGTACTTAGGCATGTGACTCTCCATAGCACCCTTTCCAGCAATGTCAACAACTTTTGGATGGTAAAGCACCTCAAGGTTCTAGTTTCAAGAAAAAGAGCACTTGGTGTGCAACTCTAAAGGATGGCCACTTGTTAGAGAAGGGCTGCATTAGGGACTTTAAAGTTCCACCAAAGGAATTTTAATAAAACATTTGCAACTCTGTGTACAATTAACTGGACTCAATCCCCACTGACATCCATGGGGTTTTTGTTTAAGCAAGCATGTATAGGATGGGGCTGTACAGGTATATAGTTTAATTAGTATGCTGCCTTTTAGTGCTTCTTATTATGGGAATATACATTTACATTGAAAGAAATGGTTAATACATTGCATATGCTTGAAGGAGTGCTAGAAATCTTGTTGTTACTCTTAATTGAGTCTTTGATTATAATTCCAGTTAAATGATAGTATTTTGTGTGACTGCTGCATTTTTAAAAGTGTTAATTATGTATCTTTTTGAAAAGCAAGAGCTATGAAATAGGAAACACATTTAGTGCCTACAGATAGGGTTTGTAGAACAGGTATAAAGACAGCTTTTAGCTTAGGAATGGTTATTTTTTACTTTGTCAGCAGGTACATTATTTTCCAGACAATAAAGCAAAGTGAAGAATGCATTTTCATGCACAGACTAAAACAGGACAAGAGACTGTGCCCAAGGATCTGCTAGTAAGGTCCATCTGCTTGCCAAGCTGAAGAAGCAGGGTCTTTTATGCAGTGCCCCAGTTATCAAGGAATTTTCACAGGAAGCATGCCTGGATCCTCCTTTCCTGATTGCTCTTCCATGGACCGTTACGCCCTGATGGTTAGAACAGCTTTTAGCTGATTAATCTGTGTTTTTAAATCACAATTTTACACTATTCCTGTTAACTCAACACCTGGCATTTTCACTAAATTGTTTGATATTTCTTCATATTGTTAATCTGCATCTTACTTTTTATTTTGTAAACTGCCTTGGACTGGGAGTGCTTATACACACACCACTCACACTCACAAGCAATCAGTGTCTATAAATAAGCCCTGCAAAATCTGACTCCTTCTGGATAGCCTGAGAATGACAGATAGTGTAGCATTACAGAAGCTAATTAGAAGCTGACTTGGTTAAAAAGGCTTTGGTGCTGCACAGGAAAGCAAAAATTTCCTAGAGACCTGGAGACAAAGCAGGCACATCCTTCTGTTTTGGCACAGGGTTCCCCAAAGTCTCAGAGGAAGATTTTCAGGCAGCAGAGAACCTGTTGTGATCAGATTGATCTGTTCTGTCAATTGAGCTCTTTTATGTTTCCAGCACAGACGTTAAGATCCAGTTTTTTAAAAATTGACAAAATCTACCAGTAAAAAAGGGGGAGGGGATGCGTTGAAAACTCTGTTTTTCTTACCTGTGAAATCCGAGGAAGAGTTTTTCTACCCATCTTAAACTATGCTTAAAGGGGACAGGTATCTCTTTCTGTGATACTCTTTTTTCCTCTGTTAATCCAATCCTTAATTCAATAAAATTTGTTTCTACAGATAAGCAGGTTTAGCTACAAGGGCTTTATAAGACCTGCATGTCTCAATTGGTTTGAAGAGTCCTCTGATAAAATTCAATCTGGCAGCTTACCTGACTCACTTCAGAATGCAACTGAACCCTTTTCCCTAAGGCTAAGACTTAGTTTTCCTGGCTTGATGATCCAAAGAGCTTGTGGCACAGGAAGTAAAATGCTGGAAGCTGAATGCTGGAGATGTTGGGACTGAGATCTCACTTCCTCTCTTTGGTCCCTTACAGAACACAAGCAGGCAAGAAGCCAGCGAGATGCAAGAAATCTCCAGTAGTCGAAACATATGGCACAGAGAGTGCTAGGTTGAAACATTCTTGAAGCAAAAGTGGAAAAGTGAAATTTCCCCACTCTCTCTCCAGTAATTTTCTTTCAGTGGACAGTACAGGCAGTGAAAGCCAGTGCCAGGAGCTACTCCTTGCCACCATGTGTCACGACTACTAGACCATACAAGTTATTGCCTAGAAATAAGGAATAAGTGATGAGAATGATGTCCTGCTCTGTAAGGAGGTTTTCTTTTGGAATTAACTCAGCTGACCTCAGTGCTTTGTGCCTGTATTCATAGTTTTGATTCAGCCAGATCATATATGTGAAATGATACAGTGGTACCTCGGCTCACAAACACCTTGGTTCACGACCAAATCGAGTCGTAAACAAAAATTTCATGAAAATTTTGATGTGGGTTGCGAACTCCTCATTGGGTGGTGACCAAGATCGCAGCCATCTCCCCACCCCCCGGAGCGGGGAGATGGCCACAATCACAGTTCCATTCGTGCAGGGAAGAAGTACATGATCACGGGCGCGCTCCTGCAGGAAAGACGGGTGCAATCTCGGCCATCTCCCCTGAGTGGGGAGATGGCTGAGATCGCGCCTGTCTCTCCCTTCCCAGCACACCCCGTTCACACCTGTCTCTCCCTTCCCCAACACGCCCCATTCGCGCCCATCTCTCTCTCCCCCAGTGCGCCTGCAATCTCGCCCGTCTCACCGCCAGCACACCAGGATGATGGGCACGTGCAGGGATGACAGGCGCGGTCTTGGTTGTGCTGGGGGGGCGGAGAGATGGCCGTGCTTGTGCTCGGGGTGGGGAGGGGGAGATGGCCGCGATCTTTGCTGTTCTTTGTCACTTTGCTTCACATTTTTCTGATTTAAAAAAATGGTTACAAGAATGGATTAACCTTATTTACATTGAACCTTCTGAGGAAATTTAACTTGGTTCACGACCAATTTGGGTCACAACCAGAGGCCTGGAACGGATTAAGTTCGTGAGCCAAGGCACCACTGAACAGGATTTAACGTTGGGAATCATGTGTGAAATAATCAAGCTTCAGGAGTGCTTCATTTAGTTGAAGTGCATGTGTGTGCAGTGGGGGTGGGATGATGTCCAGGAATGGCATAGCTCAGCCCGAGGGCACTCCATTTTGCATAGAGCAGATCCCAGGTTCAGTCTCTGGCATCTAATTGCAAGAATGGGCTTCCAGCTGATGCAAAAGAGCCTGATGTACCTGAGACTCCAGAGAGCTGCTGCCAGATGACTAGAAAATACTGAGGTAGATGGACAATTAGTGTGACCTGATATAAATAGACAGTAGACCAGTGGTCTGACCTGATGTAAGCCAGGTTCTAGTGTTCGTATACAGACTGGTAAGATGTTCTACTTAACCTGGGTTTGGTTTCATTAGCAGGAAGAGATGGAGGCTTTTGACATTTTTGTAACTGTTAAAATCATGTACAAATACACAAATAGAGCATAGCTGAAGGCACACCTTAAACACTCTAGCATAGCACATGCAGTACTCTTGCATCTGATTTCCAGAGAGAGGCACTCCTTCAACCCCAGAGCCTGTTACTTTTCAGAATCCAAAAATACATTTCTAGCTAGTCTCTCTCTTAAGTTAAGCTGCAGTTTCCCTCTATTCTTCATGCTCGCACACTCACACAAAGCAGATGACATCATCCTTAGCTGAGAACAAAGCAACCCAGAACCTTCCTGCTGTTTCCTAGCTATGCAAAAACACCAACTGAACATTTATTTATTTATCACATTTAAATCTTGCCTTTTTCCCAAAGAGAACTCAAAGTGGCTTATATAATCCTCCTCTTTTCCAATTTACCCACACAATGATTCTGTGAGGTAGACTAACCTGAGACTCAAGGACTACCCCAAAGTCACCTAGTGAGCTTCACATCTGCAGACTAGAAGCTGGATCTCTTGGGTCCTGCTGCACTAGTTCTGTAGCCAGCAAAATCTCTCTAAAAATTCAGAAGCATGATCAGACCTGACCAGCAGGACTGATGAACTTTATCAGTTAGTTCTCCTGGCTCAATTAAACCCTTTCTGCTCAAACTCCTGTGCGGAATCAGATGAAATCTTATAATAATATTTGGTCACAGAATTTCAAGTGTTGCTTAATATTGCCCTACAGTTACTCTGCTCCTCTGTTCTGATGATGAAACACGTCTGGTTGAGAATTTATTCAAGAACTATAACAGAGTTGTTCGTCCAGTAAGCGATCATCGTGAAGCTGTGAATGTTACTCTTGGACTGCAGCTTATCCAGTTGATCAATGTGGTACAGTAGAAATATTAATTGTTATTAGATGTTAGTATAATTATCGGCAGCAGTCATAGTTTTGTTGTTGTTTTGTGCTGTCAAGTTGTCTCCAACTTACAGCGACCCTAAGAATGAAAGCCCTTCAAAATGACCTGTCCATGACAGCCTCGTTCAGCTCCTCGAAGTTCATGGCTGTGGCTTTCTTTACGGATTCACTCCATCTCATATTTTGGTTAGTTCAGCAAAACTTTTTAAATCAACTAAACTGTGATCACAATAAATTTGGTAGCTTTTGCTGATGTTCTTGTTAAAAGATGTTTTTAAAGCATTTATATACTGCCTTTCATCCTGTGGAGAATGGTATATATTATCAATGATAATTATTTCAAAACCTGATGTAATAAAATTAAACCAACAACCATAATAAAAAGAGCAGTCAATATTTCAGTGACAGTATCCTGGAAGTGCTCTAACCTCCTTCCCTTTCTGTCCAAAGCATGGCAACTGGATGTCCAAAATCTGCCATCTAACTGATTTGCAGGGTGAAAGAAACAGAGAGGCAAAGGTCTCCTCTCTGCTCCTCCTTCCCTGCATAGGACACCGACAATACTCCAAATACTACAGGGCTCACAGGTATCCCCATTGCCCTATGCCCTAAATGCAAGATGCTTTTTCTAAGAAAAAGACAATGTCTTACCACAGGGATCTTATACTACTTTCAGGCAACAAAGAATATATTGTTGTTACTTTAGATCCATGACTTGCACATTTTATTGATGGATTTGTATATTTCATGAATAGATGATTTGATTAATCAATAGAAACACACATGACTAAGTTATATCATGCCATGTTGCGTTGCAGAGTAAAACAAAACAAATCCTTCTTCAGTGGAGCTTACATTCCATGTTTTGATAGCTGGAAGATGCTAATTTGGGTCCAGGGAAAGTCAAGGCAAGAAAAGCAAGGGATTTATTTTGTTATATTAATATAATCTTGATATATTTTGTTGATTTTCTTTTAATCAGTTCATTTAACCATTGAATCAAGATTTACTTTTAATCTTGTTATTTTTCTCCTTTAAGGATGAAGTAAATCAAATTGTAACAACCAATGTGCGCCTAAAACAGGTAATTCCTCGCACCATAATCACAATTATATTCAAGGGTCCATTTTGATCAGATATACTCTCCCACTTTGAGAATGCCTTGTAATATGAAACAAGATTTCTTTTCCAAGCAAAAATAAGAGTGTTATAGTCTTTAAAGGCTTACAAAATTAAGATTTTGGGACAAGTTTTTGTTGACTACGGGCCACTACAACAGATGTATCATCATCATGATCATCATTTATTACGTATTTCTACCACCCATAGCCAAACCTCTCTGGGCAATTCACAACATTTTAAGTCACCCATCCAGATTTCAATAAGGCCTGACCCTACTTAGCTTCCAGGAGTAGGCAGGATCAGGCACTTCAGGCTATATGGAAGCTGCATGATCCATGAAGTGTTATGCTGAGTTACAAGTAGGACTGAGTGACGAATAATTATGAGTCTACACACATCGGGTAGGTGGGTTAATTGTAAACAATGAGTTCAGAGGAGAACAGAATGCAGAATACAGTGACTCTTTCTGCATTTACATTCCCTCTGACCGCACTGTTTATGGTTCTACTGCTCCCAACTCTGGCTATATACACTGGTAACGTAGCCAGTGTGGCGTAGTGGTTAAGAGCATGGGACTGGGACTCAGGCGATCTGGGTTCTAGTCCCCGCTCGGCCATGGAGCCAACTGGGTGACTTTGGGCCAGTCACAGCCTCTCAGCCCAGCCTACCTCACAGGGTTGTTGTTGTGGGGATAAGATGGAGGAGGAGAATGATGTAAGCTGCCTTGAGCCCTTTGTAGGAAAAAGGCAGGATACAAATCGATAAACAAACAAATAAATAAATAAATAAAATAAACGTTTGAGAAATTGACTGTCATCCACAAAGGCACATGCCGGAATAAGGGCTTCTGTACAGGAGGGGATTTTAAGCCCCTGCTTCAGGGCTTCTCATGCTCCCTGACTTATGAAAGCTTGCAGGGTGTTTTCACAATGTGTAATGGATACGAACATTGTTCCTTCCACAACCAAAGTGAAAAAAGAGGCCTCAGTAAAGGAATTGATTAAATTCCTCATGTAGAGAAACCCTTCCCGATGCGGCTTTTCTCATTTCTATTGCAGAAGGATAAATGTATACTTTACAAGGAGTTTTTTCCTAGGATTTGTATTTTTCTGCCTTTCTGTATGTTCCATTAATCAATGATGATGCTGTGGAATAGCTGCAGCAGCAGATTTGCAACAAACACATAGCTTTTATTCCTGTTTGTTGCAATTTAAAATTTAATACTAGACTTCCACACTCTAAGACAACTGGCAGAAAAGGCTGGAGAGGGTCTGGAGAGCAACAATATCTTGAAAAGGCCTTGCAAACATCCACTAGTGCGGGATCACAAATGCACAATAAATTTCTCATGTAAAGCAGTTTCAGAATAAATGAACTTGTTTTCAAGGAGCTATAAAACTCCATTTTGTTTTTGCTGCAAAAAACTAACCCAGCTATCCTTCTGAAAAAGTTTCTGATGTTTTTGTGGATTGTGTCAATTTGAAAAGTTCACCATTAAAAAGAATTTATATCATTATTTAATCATATGCATTCAGCCGTTGTCAGGATCACAGAGCTATGCAGTTAGGTAAACACTAAATAATTAGACAAAGCTTTCTGAAAACCTGCTGATTAGGTTGTGGCAGGAATTCTTGAAGCATTTGCCACGGGTCAAAACACCTCATCCAAAGAAGCTTTGGGTTTGTGTTTCCTAAGGAGCAAGCTCTCAATTTTGCCACTTGGGAAGCTCTTTTTGAAACAGATTTCAAAACATTCAAAAATAGTTTGGTTGTGATTCAAAAACCATACCCTAGAAATTATTTAAAACATTCCTCCACTTAGGCTGAGTTCCACGCCATTATGTTCTTGGATATGATTTAATTATTCTGTTCCTTGCAAAATAGCGGTATCAGTGTGCAAGGGAGAAAGGAGGTATAATTAGGTAACTAAACTGTAAATGTACTTGATTGAGTATAGGTGATGATAAAAACATCATGTGTTCTTTTTATACTATGTATGATTTATGATAATGAGTTGCTGACACTGGATGCATTTTGGTATTTGTTCACAAAATGGAAAAGACCATGTTAATTAGGTTCTGTTTATTGCATCTATTACTTTAATGGATAAAATAATTGTTCTTCATTATGCTTACACTCAGAAATATGAATAAGACTTTTAACTCTCTAACATTCTGCTGTTAGCAATGGAGAGATGTAAATTTGAGATGGAAGCCAGAGGATTATGGGGGCGTGAAACAAATTCGCATCCCGTCAGAAGATATATGGCATCCAGATTTCGTTTTGTACAACAAGTAAGTACGAATACTGATTTATTTTATAGATTTTATTTATTTATAGCATTTATCCTCCACTCAGCCATACAGCTTTCAGATCAATAAAAATAAGACAGTCCTACTTTCTGGATTACAATTCAGAAAGGACCGATCACAGAAACTGGACCCATCACAGAAACTGATTATCTGGACATATTTCAGTCCGGCTTCAGACCCAGGTACGGTACTGAATCTGCCTTGGTCGCCCTGTATGATGACCTGTGCAGGGAGAGAGACAGGGGGAGTGCATCCCTGTTGGTTCTCCTGGACCTCTCAGTGGCTTTCGATACCATCAACCATGGTATCCTTCTGGATAGGCTAGCGGGATTGGGGGTTGGAGGCACTGCCTTGCAGTGGTTCCGCTCCTATCTCAATGGCTGGTTCCAGAAGGTGATGCTGGGGGACTATGGCTCTGTGCCATGGCAGTTATGCCATGGAGTACCGCAGGGATCCATTTTGTCCCCTTTGCTATTTAACATCTACATGAAACCGCTGGGAGAGGTCATTAGGAGGTGTGGGCTGCGGAACCATCAGTACGCTGATGATACCCAGCTCTACCTCTCGTTTTCCACCAATCCAGGTGAGGCAGTGGCTGTACTGAGCTGGTGCCTGGCCAAGGTAATGGGCTGGATGAGGGCCAATAAACTGAAGCTCAATCCAGACAAGACGGAGGTCTTGTTGGTTGGCAGATCGGGCTTCAGGGAAGGGGACCTTAACCTTGTCCTGAATGGGGTTGCACTCCCTCTGAAGGACAAGGTCCTCAGCTTGGGAGTGCTCCTCAATCCAGAGCTTTCGCTGAAAGCTCAAGTAACAGCAGTGGCTCTTTCAGCTTCGGCTGATTCACCAGCTGCGTCCCTACCTGGGGAACGACTGCCTGGTGACGGTGACTCACACATTGGTAACTTCCCGACTAGACTTCTGTAACACCCTCTACTTGGGGCTGCCCTTGAAGATGGTCCGGATATTTCAGTTGGTGCAAAACAGAGCTGCCAGGTTGCTGATGGCGACTGGGCATTGTGCTCACATAACTCCAGTCCTCTGTCAGCTTCACTGGCTCCCCATTGAAGTTCGGACCCAATTCAAGGTGTTGGTTATCACCTATAAAGCTTGGGTCCTGGTTACCTAAAGGAGCGCTTGTGTCCATACATGCCCTCCCACCCCTTGAGATCGGCGGCAGAAGCCCTTCTCCAGGAGCCCTCCGTGAAGGACATTAGGAGGGTGAGCACCCGGAGGAGGGCCTTCTCTGCAGTGGCGCCCAATCTATGGAATGCGCTCCCCAGAGAGGTCCGCCCGGCGCCGTCCTTATTTGCTTTTCAGCGCCAGGCCAAGACCTTTTTATTTAAACGTCATTTTAATTGTTAATATTATTTATTGATCTTATATCTTCAGCCAGGACGTCCCCAATTATATTGTTTTATATGGTTAATTGTGTATTTATTTATTTACTGTTGTGAGCCGCCCTGAGGCTTCAGCGAATGGGGTAGCATAGAAGTTTGCTAAATAAATAAATAAACAAATAAACAAACAAACAAAAATGGATGGGAAGGATAATGAAAATTCAGTCACCATTTCTTAATGTTATACTTAATTAGTAATTACCTTAATGTATACATAATAAATTATTAATTCTCTGACACAGTCCCATAACAGTGGGAGTGCTGAGGAGCCCAACTAGTAAAGTTCAAATACAGAATCATGACCAAGGCTTTGTTTTTTGTTTGTTCCTATTCTTGACTAGCTCGAATGAGCTTCAGCAATGTCCAGAGAACTGGAAAGGACAGATCAGAAGTCAATGTTTCCTGTTTCTGTGTTCTTCCAATTTGTCCACAAAGAGTTGCAGTTTGCAAAACATTTATTTCAGATGCAACTAGGACCATGTCATGAAGAGGCAGTATTAAATGTAATTACTGATGCTAGATTAAAATCTGGAAATTGCCTATCATATTTTCAAACAAGACTACCTAAGAAAAATACTTTTATTAGATGAAATGATGTTTTATTTATCAGCTATTTCAATCTGATTTCATCTTGGTCAACAAAATATGTGGTCAAGCTATCTAAATGAATGCTCATTAATTCAAGATAACTGACAAACTTAATTTCATATACTCTTTTGTAAATGATGTTCCATAATTATACCAAATTCTACCATTTTTACATTAAAATGCAGTTGTTTCTGTTTTTAATATTTATATTTGCAAAATAGATCATTTTTAGAGGAGAAATACTAAGATACATGGTGACAAAATGCCACTTTCAGATAACCAGAAGAAGCAAATTCAATCCTATACTCCTCAGGAGCTATCTTTATTGAACGCAGTGGGGATTGTACTCTATATTATTCTGAATCTTTCCCGAACTATTGACATCACTCAATTCTTCTGAGTTTACAAGTGGAAAAGGGAATTTACTGCATCAGTTTAAGAATTAACATCCATTTCTCTCCTTTTATAGTGCAGATGGAGATTTTGCTATTGAGCAGTTTACCAAAGTACTTTTGAACTACTCAGGCCACATTACATGGACCCCCCCAGCCATCTTTAAAAGCTACTGTGAAATTATAGTCACCCATTTCCCGTTTGATGAGCAGAACTGCAGTATGAAGTTGGGTACATGGACCTATGATGGCACAGTGGTCGCCATCTATCCGGTAGGTTATAGTTGGGAATATAACAGCAGTCCAAAAGTGTACATGGTTATATTGTGGACTGACCTCTGTCTAGAAACCACCATCATGCATGTGTACAGTGCAAATTGTAACTTTTTCTGGATTAGCACACTGTCATGGTGTATCACATACGGCTTTTGAAATTACCCTTAGTTTCACTAGCTCCTTGTCTTCTTTCATTAGGGTGGCAGGACTGCTAGTCAATAAATGCAAACTGCTGTTAGATAACAAAAGTAGAACCAGTTATCTTTAAATTCTACTTGAAGGTTTAAGCCACACTGCTTTTATTTGTGTATACAGTGAGGTAGTGGAGACTGTTTGTTTTTGTTTTGCTAGATCTGAAAAGTTCTTACCTTTAAATATTGATTTAAATATCTTTTTTGTAGAGAAATATCACAACCCCCACCCCCAAACTACAGCATACTGCCTGAGGAAGTTTTTATCCAGCAATTACGCTGACTCAAAGCTTTTCTACACAAGGCATTTCATTGTGCTCTTGTGATTCCTCATTCATGGTTGTTCATGGGTTCTTTAAACAGTGTTTATCTGGCAGTTCCACTTTTGTTTTTTCAAATCACTTTGTTTTTTTTAGAAACGTATTATTTATCAGCTTGCTATTTCTATTGGTATTTTTAGTTTATTCTGCTGTAGCACAGCTCCACCTAGAGAATATGCAGCAAAAAGCAGCAAAAGGAAAGCTCTTTGAGTAGAGCGCACCTCTCAGTTCTGTAATATAATTGAAAGCACATACAGTGATTAACAGCCTTGTATAGAAATCTCTCAGAATGATATGGAAGAGACCATGTGATAATGTTTTTCATTTGTTTTCCATTATGTCTTCTATTTGTAATCCTCCTATTTTTCCCCTGCTGATTCTTCTGTCTGTTTTCCTTATCAGAAAACCCATTTACGAGGAAATTATGGAGTAACTTCACAATTCCTTCTCAGTTGTAGGCCTAGGAGAATTTGATGTGGAGACAACTAAGCACTGGATCAGGAAGCAAATATCTATCAGTTTTAGTGCAGTGGCAGTATTCTAAAACTATAGCATAGAAAAAGAAAATTTCTGGCCGATTCAGATTAACACAGACTGCTTTGATGTCCAGGAAACTTTATTCAGCCCAAGCAGCTGGGTCTAGGTCATCTCACAAAAGGGAGGTATTGGTTAACTGGAGATTTCGTATTTTTAAAGGAGGTTGGTACTGTTCTACATTATTTTAGGGCTGTTCGGATAGTGAAAAATTCAACAGGAAGTTCACTCTCTATTTAGTTTCTTTTGGATAAGATATAACTAGGGATTTAAAGTATCTTTTAAATATGTGCTTTGATTACAAATAGAACATAAGCAGAGGCAAAGAGTAGGCACCCACTCCTACAAGGCAGCCTGTTTGTTACCTAGCATAAGATCTCCAGTGAGAAGCCCACACCCCCAAGATTCCTTTAGCCAGTTCATTGCTCTTTCCACTTTTTAATTACTATTACTAATTAATTGAATAGTAATTTTCAACAAGACCAAAAGGTAAAAGTAATATACAAATATATAACTTAGAATGGGTTTATGAAATGTGTGTCTGTGAACATATGAAAGTACAGCTATTAATAAAATTATATATAAACAATTATACATAAACTTCAGGAAATGCAAGGAGAAAATGATGCACATCCTACTAAGAGTTTTCTTACTCAGATGTTCATCATATTCTCCATATGCCTATTGAAGACAGGTTATGGCATATTCTGTCTGAATTTCTCATATAAAGATTTTTTTTATTTTTGTAGAGAAATGTTTTTATTAGGGGCATAAGCAATAGTTCAGCCTTATATAAACAGCAGCATCATATAGCATATTTTTAGAAGAGAAGCACCACTCGGGTGCACATAAGTACCTTCATTAATTTTTAAAATACTCAGGTAGCTCAGTCAAAATCTTTAAACACGTATCTCATCACTGAGAAGAGAAACATTTAAACTCCAAAGATCAGGGGATCTTAATGAGTCTGAAAATTGCAACTCCAAACAGAACTTCCAGAATTTCAATCTTTTACTTCTGACTCTGTCTGTGTTTCCTTTCTGCCCAGTCCTAGCCCCTTGCTGTAACTGAACTTTTATTTAGCTTGGAAAACAGAGTTGTAGTAGAATGCATTTTTCTTCTTTTATGGATCTGATCAGAGATGGTGAGAACTGTGGTCCAATACAAGACTGGAGGGCAGTGCATTGAGGAATACCCTTATTCTGTCTGCTTACTTGGCCTCTCAAGAGAAAGAGCAATGGCAGCAACTCAGAGAAGGAAAGACAGTTTCCACTATACTTGCCTTCTCATTTTGGGTCATGGTGTAGACTAGGCCTAAAGAGTGATGGCACTGAATGAAGAGCAATGCTGTTGAAAAGGAGATGGAGTTAGTTAGGGACCACTCTCCTTCCCCAGAACACCTTGCTCAAGATCCCCACCCTCAAAGCTATGGTCAGACGGTGCATTCAGACACACATTATCCCAGTTCACACCATTACAGCAGAGGAAATAAGCCATGGTGGCTTATTTCTGCTAGCATACATCTGAATTAGGAAAGGATCCCTTTGCTTCTTGGTGCCACCCTGCTCTAGCCTTCCAAAGTTTGGTGAGCTTGGAAGGAGGATTATGGCTCTGCAAAACCCTGTGCTTTGTTAAACAATGAAATAGCTGCTAAGTTTATCCCCATGGTTTTGGGCACTTACCTGTGGCCTTGAGGTATGCTACGTAGTTATTGCTACACCAAAGAGTTTACCTGTGGCTCCAGTAGCTGCTGCAAATGCCATGAAGGAAGCATTATCTGCATGTGAAATGAAATGGAACAGAAAATTCCTTGCAGTATTTTGTGTCCTCCTGGAGTGGAACTGGATTGGACCTTACACCTAGTGCCAGAGCTTGAAAACGTTCTTCCTGAAAGCAAGATAACTCATCCACTAGGGTGTTGTCTGAGCTTGGAACACAGCGTGCCAGGATGGAAAAGCATGCAAATAAAAACTTCCTTGCTTCCTTATCTCCAAGGGCCTGGTCCAGTGGAGGCAACTCCCTTCAGATTCAAGGATACTTAGGAAGGAACAAAACTACCTGTGCCAAAGATGATATGCAGTTTATTGAAATACAGTGGTGAATCGTGGAGGTGGATTATCAATACACAAGCAAAAGAAATGTTTATAGAAGCACCTTTAGCTTCCTGCTGTGACAAATGCTGTTCCTGGGCCGCTAGTTACTTGGCCACTTTGCACATTCTTGGTTCCAAGTGAAAAGCCCAGAAGAACAATATCCCTTGCCTTGGTTTTATACCGTTTCTTTCTCCCTCTGTTTCAGAGTAAGACAGTGTACACAGGTTAGTCCCCTTTGGGGATACAAGGAAGGATAGGGAAAGAAGACTCAGCTATGCCAATCAACTTCAGCAAAAGAGAGTGTAAACATCTTTCTTTCAAGGATGAAGTAAGGAATTCACAGCACCTGGTAGCTGGTGGTCTCATGTCTCACAGCCATTACGCCTAATAAGTGTCTCTGGCTATGCTTAGTTCATGTTCAATTCTTTGTCACAATCCCACTATGCTCACCAAATGTGTGACACTGTCACATATCAATGCTTGCACATCGATCACCCTGACCACTGCCTGATACTTGAGCAAGAGAGGCCAAATGCTTGGCTCCTCTGCTGCGCACAGCCTCCCCTGGGGGGGTTTCAGTTGGTAACAGACACCTTAGCCCAGCGGCTTCCCCTGGCATCAGCAAGGGGGAAGAGCCACTAGGGTGGGGTGTCTGGAAAGTGCCACTTGGGGGCTTTGCTGCCTGTCCTCAGCTGCAGCTCCAAGGCCAAAGCGGAAAATGTGTTTGCTACTCTGAGCAAGGCCTCTCTAGCCTTTTGACTTAATCATGGCTTAGCATATTGTCTGGGTTCAGGCAACATGCTAAGCTTGTGTGTGTGGAGGGGCGGATTCTAAATCGTACTTCAAGCCATGACTTATAAACCACCTCCTGGAAAGCAAGGAAGGTTCAGAAGACCACCCAGTCTTACCCCCCCCCCCCCCGCTCCATAGCTTGGCATGTTGTACAAACCCAGTCAGACACTAAGAGACAGAGACCCATATTTGGGTTATAAGCATCTTTGGGTGCTGACTTTTCTTCCTGGAGAATGGATATGGGATCAGCAGATTTTAGCTGTCTGTTCGAGTTTTTAAGCTCTGTACTTCCACTCTTGCTCAGCCTGTATATAAACACACATATTAGAGAAATGCCATGAGACCCCAGTGACCATCTGAAGGATAGTTAACCTGGCTAAGTGACAGGTCTCACCATTTGGAAAAGTGGTATGAACATAGCATTATTCTTCTCTGTGAATATTATTTAAAAAGAGCTATCAGTTTGTAATATTTACATTTCTCTTGAAGAAATGTAAGGTAGCATCATGCCTTTAATTGTATTCATTAGTGCTGCACATTCATCTCCTCAGGAAAGCGAAAATCCAGACTTAAGTAACTACATGGAGAGTGGAGAGTGGATAATGAAGGATTACCGCGGCTGGAAGCACTGGGTTACCTATGACTGCTGCCCTAACACTCCGTATTTGGATATTACGTATCACTTTGTGATGCAGCGTCTGCCTCTCTACTTCATTGTCAATGTCATTATTCCTTGCCTCCTCTTCTCATTCTTAACTGGATTAGTGTTTTATTTGCCCACAGATTCAGGTATGTACTTTTTAAAATATATCGTATCTCAACTCATAAGCAATAACCAGTATATGCCCCCTTCTGCCTGACCTGAATTATTCTCTAATTTATGGTGGACTTATGAATACAAATGCAGTGCTACAGAGATATGCTCAGTATGTGTATCCCTGTAACCAAGTTCATGAAAAACATGAAAAATCTAACTTCCCTTTTTAAAATTGTGGTCCTAATAATGATGGGGAAGAATTCGGAAATCTATTTTAGGTACCTTTCTACCTAAAAGGATACTCAAGAATTGGTAACATACACAGTAAAATCAGTCATGAGACATAAAACTAACTTGCTGACTAAGTGGGGGATGATGGGCACTGTAGTCTAATACATATGGAGTGCACAGGTTGAATCAGGTGAATTTCTCCTCAAAGCATACACCAGCTTCAGAAGATGGATTCTCCTAAGGATTGTAACAGTGGAGGAAAAGGTAACCTCCCACTGCCCGCCTTCTACAGAACTGTTGATGCTTTGTAACTTTTAAAAAACCTGCGCATTAAATTCAGAGATAGACCGAATATCATGGCCCTTATTTAACTTAAGGGTTGTAACTGATATATCTCCCTCAGGAATTCCCTCTCTGTTCTTGTCTCCTCACTGACTCTCCTATATTGTTCTGCCTTTCCCTGTAACAGGTGAGAAGATGACCCTGAGCATCTCTGTCCTGCTTTCTTTGACTGTATTCCTTCTTGTCATTGTGGAGCTAATTCCCTCGACCTCCAGCGCAGTGCCTTTGATTGGCAAATACATGTTGTTCACTATGGTGTTTGTCATAGCCTCCATCATCATCACTGTTATTGTGATCAATACACACCACCGCTCTCCAAGTACCCACACTATGCCACAGTGGGTGAGGAAGGTGAGATGGAGTGTGAACTTCAGCGGAGCAGCTGTCCTTATCTCTTGAAATAAATACTGTCACAACAGGCAATTTACATGCTTGCGTGGCAGGATGCTGGAGTAGATGCACCCTTGGTCTGATCCAGCAGGATGGCTCTTCTAGAGTTCTTCTGCACCAACTTTCCTTGCTATTGTTTCTGTACATGGAAGAATTGGGATGCAAATTATTTTGTGCAAACTTAGGAGTGGTTTAATTTACAGCCCAGATGATTATGTTCTTACTCACAAGATACCACTTTGCAATCCCTTCTGCAGGACTACCCCATATCCTTAATGGGAATTCAGACAGACATAAATGCTTTACCAATACTGGAACTTAGCATAGCTAGTAGAGTTGTTACTGCCCTTAAAAGATTCACAACAGATAATTTTCTCTTGCATGTTTCCTAACTGAAGAATCCGTCCTTCCATATTATTGGTAACCTCAATTCCCACCAGTGAGTCTGCACTGGAAGCCCTGATCACCTGACATACTGCATCAGGTGCTGACTGTGTGCAATCCCAACCATTTTAATCTGAGAATCGGTGGTGGATGGTGCAGTAACTTTAAAGAGCCATTTATGCCATTACACCTAGTCTTCTCAACAGATTAAAGCAATCTTCCCGGCATTAGTTCATCTTATGCATCGAATACGGTGCTGTTGCCTCAGTGTCCCACTTGTGGGCATCTGACTGGACACTGTAGGAAAAGAATGCTGAACCAGATAGATCTTGATCTCCTTCTCCGAGCAGCCTCAGAAACTTATTTTGTGAATTATACCGGTAGAGTGAAGTAGGTGCCTTCATGAATATCATGAAATAGCAAGGCTGTGTTAGTTTTTTAAAAACATTAATTACGTTTATACCCGGGGAGATTTGAAAGGTTCCAAGTGGGAGGAAAACTCTATTCTGCAGGTTGGCTGACCACATAATACACATAAAATAAGCATGGAACCAGCACTGGATCCTAAGCTAACAAAATCCATCATGTTCCAATTTCACATGTTGATCAATAGTGGAGCATAGCTTAGTGTTATCTACCCTATGTACAATCTCCCCCCAAAAAGTCTCATTTATAAAAATGAATGATAAAGGGCAGCCTAACAACTCAGGATGCTTCCTTTGTCCCAGCTGTTGCATGTGCAAGAGAGTTCAAATTTCAAACATGAAAAAATACTTAATTGTAGGATTGAGTGATGGTACAGTGCACAGTGCTTTCTCTCATGAAAGCATACCTGTAAAATTAATGTATATTCCTTTCAGATTTTTATCGACACAATTCCAAATATTATGTTCTTTTCAACAATGAAGCGGCCTTCTAGAAATAAGGAGAAAAAGATTTTTACCGAAGACATAGATATTTCTGAAATCTCAGGTAAACAAGGTCCAGCTGCCGTGAATTTCCAGTCATCACTCATCAAAAATCCAGATGTGAAAAGTGCTATTGAGGGCATCAAATACATTGCTGAAACTATGAAGTCTGACCAAGAATCCAACCACGTAAGAATGTTTTCCTAATGTGAACCATTTTTAGTTTTAAAAGTGTCCACTTTTGTTTGAAAGCAATACCAATTTATTTCTGACTCATGCACACCATGAACCTTTTGTTCTGCCTCTAATGCAATTTTAAAGGACAATAAGTAATGGCAATCCAGATTTATAAGTAATTAAAACAATCCATATTTATCTGTATTTTTCAATCAATTTTAAAGGGGGAAATGGACTGCTGTTTTATTTAGTTGTATACAGGTAACAAGGGTTTCCCAGGTTTCATTTCCTGCATACAGTCTAAAATTCCTCATGATTTCCAGAAGAGTTGTTGTATTAGTCTGTTGCAGCAAAAACAACAGAGTTTTGTGGTAGCTAAAGCTGATGATATAATAAATCTGTTTATCATTAAGTTGCTACTTTTCTGCAGTTGTGCAGTATTTGGCTCCCCCTTGTGACCAGAATTCCCGAAAATTATTGAGCAAACAAGTAACACCTCAAGAACATAGAATATAATAGGTAAAACTTGTTCTGAATGAATCAGACCCACATAACAGTTAATAGTGAAGAGCTCGAGAGGGAGACCATTGAACATGTGGCACTATTCAAACTATCTCCTAACCTTCAGCAAAAATGGGTTGTTTTTCAGCTGTTACAACTGATAGTTTTTACTTAAGAGCACAGTGTATGGCCATGTTTGCCTCTGACTGTATCATCTTCCTCCTTCTCATATAAGCAGCAGTCCTTATATAGGTTCTCACGCATATGTTCTACCTTTGCTGACTGCGATGACTTGCATGTATGAATCACCTCTCATGTACACTAGGGCCTAAATGTTAACATTTTCTGTTGCTGCAAATACAGTGCTGCTCAGCTGAAACAGTTCACACATTTAGTGGTGATGAACATGCATGTGTGACTCTGATGTTACGTCTCTACATGGAGTATATATGTATATGTGCTGTATCACGTCAAAGGTCTATGTGTTCTGGGATTCTGTTTCCCAGAGCAGCCAGCCAGATACCTCTGGGAAACTCAGGAGTGGTCCACGGAAGAAAGAGCCTTCCCTGCTGTTGTCCCCAAGCAATTGGGATTTCAAAATGCACTGCCTCTGAGCATGATGGTTCCATTTTTCAAATTATGCACTGCATGAGGAAATGCTTTTCATTTGCTTGACCTGAATCTACTGGCAGTCTGTTTCACTGGGTAATTTCCAATGCTGTGTGAGAGGGAGGGGAAAAAATGATCCCTCTCCACTTTCTCTTTACCATGCATAATTTTATGATCCTTTATTATATCTGCATGGGCAGGTTTTCACCAAATATACATTTTTCAAATGCAGAATTCTCTTTCCTTTCCAGTAATATTTTAGCATTAGAATATCACGCTGCATCAGTGCCTAAGGTGTTCAATTTCTATACAATGCATGTGAAATGAACTTTACAATGCAAATCAAAATGCACGTTATAGTCTTCTCATATCATCCTTGCTTCCGTATCTGCCTGTCCTCGTAGGAGATGAGTGCAAAAATGAGGCATGTGCCACATGCAGGGTGGAACTGAGACCCTTTTGGACAGGAGCAAGGGGACTCGTGGACCTGCTATGACAAAGACCCAAGCCCGGTCTGCTGCCCACCTCTTCTTTGATCCCCTCCCCAGACCAAGACAGCAGGAAGGCACAGTGGCTGGTTAGGCCTGTCAGACCTCTATACAGTGCCACTGTCATTTGCTTCATACATAATTTGTGGGGCAGATGCTGAAAAGACTGACTACCACTGTCTTAGGGCAGCGTTTGCCAAACTAATCTAGTCTCTCAACACTTGCTGGAGTAGAATGATAAGAGAACTGGATCCTCAGATCAAGTCTAGTTTATTCCTGTATTTTGTTTTCATTGCAGTGTATATACAATCCAATTTCAGATAAGTGAGTTGTAAAAAGGGAAGGAGCTTTTGAACCACATTCTGGCACTATTGAATTAGGCTGAATTCATGCCCTAGAAATTGATTTACAGAGCACAGGAATCCAAAAAGTTAATTTATTAAACCTAGTGCTGCTTCCAAGCCCTACAAATTAATGTACAGAGCCTAGAGCTATGCCAGACCTTAAAATTAATTTAGAGAGGCTAAAGCTGCACCCAAGTTGGAGAGAGAGAGAGAGAGAGAAAAGAGAAGAGGAGAAGAGAAGAGAAAAGAAAAAAGAGAATTTCCTGTCTTCTGGCTCTTGTGACAGAGGCTGGTGAGGGTCTAGATTGGTTTCATGAGGGATCCAGTTATATTTTACCTCCGGTATCAAAAGCGATATGAGCACTATGCGGCGGAGAATGTGGATGAGAGGGTGCTGATGTATTCATGTCCTGCTTGTGGGTTTCCTGTGGGCAGCTGGTTAGCTACTGTCCGAACAAAATGTTGGAGTGGATGCTTGGTCTCAGCCAGCATGAGATCTTCTTCTGTTCTCCCGGTTCAAATTGACTGGCAGGCTGAGCTGCCTCCCCCAGCCATATACTCAGAAATCAGAAACACATCAGAGAAGCACACACAGTCACTGCCCAGGTGCCTGTGGAAGGGACAAAGGCTTGGCTCTGGATTCTGTGCTCGCTGAGTCCTGGCTCTGGTTGCCATAACACCCCAGCTATGCTGTCTGGCATGGTGTGCGCTGACAGGGCTGTGCGTTTGCCAGGCTGCCAATGCCGGCCTATCTTTCCTGCTCACCCCAGGAGCCAGTGAGGCTTTGTGGCGGCCATGTGCTCTGAATGCATGCCTAATTCCATGTTTAATACCTTAAAAAGGGAAATATTGCTAGCATTGAAATGTTCTGATGGAACTCCAGGTTTCTGCTGGATACCATTAGGAAAACACGATCTTAAAGCACTACCTTAGGGTATTTTCACAAGTGATACAAGAAGACCTTTTAGGCTAGAAATCATTTGTTTGTTGATGTCAGGGAAAGCATACAGGAATTATGAGCGAGTGATACTTAAATATCCAAAATTCTGATTTCCTCTTTTATTTGTTTTTCCATCCTCAGGCTGCAGAAGAATGGAAGTTTGTTGCAATGGTAGCTGATCACCTTCTCCTTGGCATCTTCATGTTCGTTTGTATCATTGGAACACTGGCTGTCTTTGCTGGCCGCCTCATTGAACTGCACCAGCAAGGGTGAAGGCAGGAAATCTACTTGGGTAGTATGATTTGGATCCTAAAGGTTAACTGACATAATTTTTTAAAAAGGAAAGTTTCATGTTCCCTTACAGCACTCATGCCCCCCCACACACACACACATTGTCTGGGAGGGCCCCCCAACCCACTAAGTGTCTTGGGGGAAATTGGAGGGCAGGATGGGATGCAATCTTTCCTTTTCTTGATGCCCTTAACTTAACTTACTAGAGAATCCATGTCTTGAGTGACCTCCCCACATTTTAAGAGCTACATAGTTGTCAGACTTGTGGGGAAGGAGAACATTTCAGAAAGAAAAGCAAGCATCAGTGGGAATAAAACTGAATTGATAACATTTTAAAGCTGATATCTGCTTCCAAAAACCATCATTTTGCAACAGCATTTGATTTATGAGCAACAAGTCAATGTTGAAGAACACAGCCTCAGTTTCACCTAAGCATCAGACAAGAATATTTCTCTGTTAAATCACTCAGACTATGATAACAAGACACTGGTGTGTTTGAGCTGTTTATGCAGGAAGCTAACTATGCTGTATGTTAGCAATTTGTTTTACTGCCCATTGTTCATCTTTTATTTCCAGCAATTCAGGTTACAGAAACTTGCCTCACCCCTAGGCTTGCCCCAACGCATTGATTTCTGTTGACTGAGAGCAGTCAAAGCATGCTGGATCTTCACATAGATTATTCCCTATTACCTTTTGTACCAATGGGGAAGGTAACGCCAGATGTCTCAGTTGTGGCATGTGTGGAAAATAAGAATAATTACTGATCTGAAGTCAGTGAAACCATACAGGTCCATGCAAGTCATATTTATTCAGAAACTCCGACTGAGTTCAGTAGCATTTACTTTCTGTCAAGCATGCTTCCATAATATGTTCTGTAAAACCCTGTTTCAGATCACCACAGAGATTTATTTTCCATGCTAGGAGATAGTAACAGATCTCTTGATCCTTCTTAGCACCATTTGCAGTTAGTCAAAAATAAAGCAATGAACTTCATAGATATGTCCCCTAACCATGCCAAGAACAGACTGGATTAAGCAGACCAATTGCCTGCAGTTCCAAGGGCAATTTCACACACACTAAAGTCTCATTAGCAAAACTGTTACTTACTTGCTCATGCTGTATATTTATAGAATATATATCTAAACACCCATTTTATTGTACTGTATAGAAAGGGGGTTGAATGTTCAAAAGAAAAATCAAAACAGTATTCATCTGAAAAATAAAAAAACTAATACCTCCCTTAATGCAACTGATGTTCAAATCTTTGAATGACAGGCTCCCTCTTGTGGGTGAAAAGCAGTATGTCTGAAAACGTTGGTGAACATTCAGTTTCTATGTACCTTTGATTTTCCCTAACGAACACTGCTGTGATGGAAATAACAAACTTCAGTGGTATGATATAAAAGTTCCCATTGCATGTCTTTAGCAGTACTAATTCTTCAGTCTCCCAGGATGGGTTCTCTTTGGTTAACAGTCATCAATCAAGGGAAATTGGGATAAAAGTATGCCATTTATCTAGCATGTGAACCTCTTCCTTGATCTCTTTCTCTCTAGATCCTGTTTTCCGCATTGCCTCCAGCAATAACAGTCTTTCACTTGGTGGTCCACACACAGTACTTCTGTTCTCCTCTGGGAGGTCTCAAACCACTTTCCCAATGGGTGCCCTTTTCCCAGCTGGCATAAATTAGAGCACAAAGATCCCTGCTGAGAAAAACAGAAGTAGAAGTGGCAGGATGGGAACATTCCCTCAACTAGTCATACTGAGTCAAAAGGCATCTCATTTGTAAAGGGGACACATGCCCAGAATGGCATGATTTAGCATTTTTCCTAGTCACAGCACTCACATGCAATTATAGCTCAGAAAAGGAAGTACAATGTTGTTTTCTATAAATGCTTACACTCTGAATATACAAACTTCTATTTTCTGTGGTGCGTATCTACCCAGTCAGGGCCAGTCTTGTTTCTTGTTGCAATGCTGTAGTTCCTGTGGGATGCATTGGTCTGCAGCAGCATAACTGAACGTATAAAAGACACGAGAGGTGGTGGGCTCTCCCACTAGCAACATTCAAAAAGAAACTGGGCAGCCATCTGAGTGGGGTGGTCGGAACTGATGTCCTGCAGTAGCAGGAGGTTGGATCCAGTGGCCTTCATGTTCCCTTCTGTCTCTACTATTCTGATTCTGTGGCTGAGACCAAAATCTCAGGGGAAAGGCCACTATTTCTTATTTCAAGGGTTTTAAAAGATGTTTGTCCTCCTCATGCTGCACAAAATCGAAAAAGTGTGACATAAAGGCAGTTCCATTCCCCCCCCCCCCCAATAGTAGCTTCCTCCAACTCTCTTCACGTGGAGACCATGGAAATGGTTGCTGCTGCTTTAAACACATACACACTACAAAAGAGACATTTATGTCACAATCATCACTTTCAGGAACAGCCTGGTGCTCAGCTGTGAGATCAAGAGTGCTTCCGGGCAGTAGGCTTCCATGCCAGCCAAAGGGCATTGCACAGCTCTTCTGTCCTTACTTCCTGGTAGGAAAAAAAATGGAAGAAGTTGTACGGCTTATGTGCAAGTAGCCCTAATTGCTAGAGAAAATTAGAGGCGATGGGACAGAACGAGTTTGTTTCACAGGTATATGCTTTCTTTTTTAAAATGAAAACTAGTGTTTTTAAAGCTATTTTCTCTGAGGCTGGAAATGTCATGCATTTTCTTCTTTTAAATCATGACTTAAGAGTTTAGCATTGGTGCTGGGGGTGGGGTGACTTGGATCACAATTTAAGAAAGAACCTAATCTCAAGGGGAAATAAACTTACCAGACTCTTTAAGGAGAAATGGTTTCTCCCATTTAGTAGCTTAAAACAAGAAAAAGACCTAATCACATAGTTCTGCTTCCTGGGCCTCCTCCTTTGACCAGCTTCATTGCTTGGGCCAGCTCTTGAGTTCTAATCAGCAATAGACAAAAACTGAAAGCCATAAAAATAAACCTACCCCAAAGCCTGGAAGACAATTAAACTTTGTTGCCTCTGTGTATCTTATACTCCCTCCAAAGTCAGATTCTTGGCTTGTTTGAAATGAACAACTTGCTCCCTCTGTCTCAGGGAGAGCTCAGATTACAAGGAAAACTGCAAGGGGCTTGAGAACGCTATACTGGAGGGACTCACAACAAGGGCTTCTTGTGCGAGGTATTTATAGTGTCTGGTCATTTCCTAGTCATCTTGTGCATTGGATGACATCATGACACTCCAGCTTTGCTTCTGCTTTTGGAGAGAGGAAATTGTTATTTTTCTTTTATTTGCGTTATTCTGCTGTGCTGCAGTGCCACCTAGTAGTGAAGTGGCAGAAAAGTGGGAAAGGAAATGCCCTTTGGCATCTCAGAAGTAAAAGTAGATACCAAGTTAATAGCTGATTAACAGCCCTCATACAGTAAAGCTCAAAATGTTTCAGTGTGGGGTGCTGCCTCTGATCAGCCAACCAGGACTCCATTCTCGGCACTCAACGATCAGCCAGGATTTGTAACAATGGAGTATGCGCAGTCTTCATTGGGCTGTTTTATGGTCCCCCTCTTGTAAGATTGTTTTTCCTTCAGAAAAGGGTCTTTGCAGACCTAGGGTTTAGCTGCTGATCTCCCTCTCTCGCACTCACCTTCGCTCTTGCTCTCTCTGATTCTCTCTCATACATGGAAGGCACCAAGCACTTCCAGGCTGCCGATACTTTCAGCCAAAAGGCATGTGCAGCTATTCCACCTTTTCACCCTTAACGGAATGTGTGGTTCTTTCAGATGAAGCTTTTATTGTGCATTTGCCCAGCCTCACTCACAGCACTCTGCAGGGGGACTGTGGTGCCGCCAGGCAAAGCCTCCTATCACTACCAAAAGGTACTATCCAGGTGTTCCATCTGGCTTAATGGATTTCCTGTGGAAAGATAACAAGACTGAAAACAGTGAGGAAACATGGCGAAGCTGCAGGTTTAAGAGGATAATGTCATCCCCCCCACCACCCACAATAAAATTTCATGAAGGAGGCAAGGAGATGACACCATCAGAGCCTTGTCCAGAAACACCCTGATATTATGACATCATCTGCTTTTTATTAAAAAAACAACACTTCTGACAAGAACCCTTAACAAAACCAGCAGCACTGAATTATTTAAATGGCTCTGTAAAGAGTGAAGAGTGAACATCACTTGCCATGCCCCCACAACAAAATAATTTTTTAAAAAAACATCCTTACTCAAAGATGCCCGACACAGAAAAATAAACACCAATGGTCTGACGGTCTTATTAGAGTGTTGTCAAAGCCTAATACATTCCTAGAAGTTGATAGTGTAGAAATTCAGCCTGTATGCACATAATTTCTATCTACCAAACCAAACTCAACTCACTGAAAGCTTGATCCAAACTGGGGCTAATTTTGACTATCACTTTTGCACAGACCAATCTCCCACTAACACTTTTTCAAACCAGGAGTGGCCCCATAGTATAGCAGAATATTGCAAACACAAAAGTAGGGGAAAGTGTTTTCTTTCACATTTAAAATTAAATACAACTGTTTCCCTGTTCTTCTTCTTTTAACCTTTCCCTTGCTTATATACTTGAACTCTAGATTACACCTCTCTCCCCAGGGTCTTTTCTCTTGCAGTGTTTCAAAAGCCCATTGAAAAGCCCCGTTATTTTTAGTTGCATGCATTTTCTTGTATGACTTTGTCAAACCCTTTGTCTCTCTTAAGTAAACATCACCATTTTCCTTTCCTGCTAAAAGTTATTCACACCTATTCTGTTAAGATACAGGAAGACAAAGGTGAATCTGGTTTTAAATTTAAGCAAAAAATCATATTCACAGACAAAGAATTTATATTTGAATTTCACAGCAGCACAACTTCTGGCTTAATTGCCTGAAATTTGCTATTTGAAAAATGAACATTTTCAAACAGCCATCCAACTTCAGTTTTCTTAGATCACAAGCATTTTAAAACAATAGTTACGGTGCTCGTTCTGCTGTTAGTACTGAACTTTCAAACTTGTCCTCTGCTGTGTTCACTTTACATTTATATTTGTCTCTTTGCTGGAGCTTCCTCTCTCCCAGAGTCTTGTGCTGAAGCTGACTAAGCAGTTCCTGTTTCCACATTTTGCGAGAAGTTGCAGTACAAAGCTGACACTAAAAGACTGGTTTTAGGAAAACAGTGTTTGCTATTTCCTTCACTCTTGAATTCTCCACTCCACTTTTTATAAGAGCTAAATCCATCCTGAGGCACAGTAGGCTGTGTCCAATTGGAACCACAAAAAGCACATAACCACAACATGAGTAGCAAAATTCCACAGCAAAGGGCTCTTGAA